TTATGGCTGGCACAGATGAGTTCATATAATGCAGGAGCAAAAAAATATCCACTCCCTAATATACCACTACTCAACCTGTACTAAATTGATCTTCTCTTCAGGGGATCATTAAGTCCTGAGCATTTTTATTTAAAGCCTTTTGTTAAAATTTGTCAAGTTCATTGCAAGTGTGATGCAACAAAAGTATGGTGTAAATCTGTCAAGTTCATTGCAAGATCAGCAATTAACCACAGCACAATTCGAGTACACACTGCTGATACCTGTAAAAAACATGCAGATTCACACAGACAAGGGGATGAAATGGAAGAAAACGAGAGACAGGAATTCCTACATAGGATTAAAATATGATATTTCTCTGTGAATAAAATGTAGTTATTACATGTAAAATGTACATGTGAACAGTCCTTTAATATTGAACACCAAGTATTATTCTTATAAAAGCAGTAGCCCGAAAGAATAGCATTTCTTGCATGCAGAGCATCTTTCCAGTGACCCTCACATACACACTGTATTCCAGTACTTCTGTCTGATACAGCGGGCATATTCACTAAATGACTCGCATCAAGGGATCCCGTGGGATCCTTGCCAACATTGCTGTATTAGTCTGTGCTCATTCCCCTCAAAGAAAACAAATACATTTTACCATGCTGGTCACATGTGGATTTTAATGCTGAGCAATATTGTCCACTACTAATTATATTAAGGAGAAATAGGTATGTAAAACACCATGTTTACTTCCACCTGGGAGTTTTACAAAGACAATGGGTCAGATGTCAGTAACTCTATAGTCCGTTTGCTTTGCTCTGCTCTAACAGAAACAAAGAAGCATAGAATTACCTTTATTGACTCCCTGGTATTAATGAGAACATATTCCCATGGTGTCATAGGAGAACAACAACTCTATGCCATCCAATATTTTAGCTTCAATATGGCTGGGTAGACTAAGCATAACTTCTGTATACTCACATTCCAGGAGACCTCATGTCTGATGGACTGAATCCAAGGGTGCAGTTACACATAAATTAGAGAAGTCCTAGAGCAGTAGCTTTTAACCTTTTTGGACTCAAGACACCCCTCACTGCACCCCTCCATAACTTATGCAAATTGAGTGGCACCCAATTAAAAAAAATAATTTATATATTACAGTGCTTACCTCCTTGCAGAGGGTTTGGGAAATGGGGGTGGGGGATCATCCAGGCAAGGACAATCTCAAGTCTGCATTTATCTGCTCATCTCCTCGCACTTCAGGGCATCCTTTCATAGGGAAAGCCAAGAGGGCTATGGCCAATTTGAAACTCACCAAGAGAAGTGAGTTACTGCAAAAATTTAAAGAACTGAAAACAAAACAAAACAAAACAAAAAAAATCAGCTTCAGGACAAAAAATAGAAGGGTCACAGACTACAATGCAATTGGAACTGGGCCAAAACAGTGGTTAAAACTAGACCTTTACAATACAGCCCTAATGCAGAGAGGCCTGGAGGGGAGAAGTTGGGTTTGTATAGCTCAATCATGTAGAAACCATGCATAAAAATCTAGTTCACTGTTGCAGATCCTTCAGAGGTTCTGAGGGCACCCCAGGATGCCCTGGTTGAGAATCCTACAGATTTAACTTGTGCTGAGATATGAACCAGTTTGCCACCAACCCTGAATACAGGAGCCACCAGAAATGGCATATAATCATTGTTGTTACCTCTTCCGTAGAAACTCCCCAGAGCTGTGCTGAGCACAGCCCAGCCAAGCCACCTTTGTTAGTCATTTTTTTGGAGACAAGTTATTATATAATTCTCATTTTACAAATGTTGACCAGTTTCAACCCCAAGGATAAGGTGAGAGAAACAGACAAAGTCACATTCCCACCAACTTCCTACTTTGCAGTTCAAACTCTGGAAAGTCCTTGTGATTGTATCAGGACAAATGCTGACACCTAAGGTTGTAGTTCTGGATTACTTGTGCTATTACCAGCCACCCTGTGGAAAAAATAAAAGGGTCGAGCCTGATCCCGCCCCTTCCTGGAGCCTGCCCGAGCTGCACAGGGGCCCAGTGCTTCCTTCTGCGGCTGTGGGGAGGCTGGTGCTTCCTTCTGCAGCTGCGGCGGTGCCCCCCCGAGACTGCCTGGGCTAGGCGCCTGTGGGCAGGTGCCCTAAATTGAAGCCGTGTTTTTAAAAACCCACAGCTTCAATTTAGGGAGAATTACATTGAAGCAACTCCCCCCACCCCGGCACGTACAAGCAGCCCAGGTCATCGGCTTTGTTTATTTTGCCTTGCTATATGGCTATGGGTCCAATTCCACCATTACAGGTTCACATTTCAATGGAAATACTCACCTGCGTGTGTCCCTACTGGGCTGAATTCTGTGAAATCAGCATATCATCCTGATAGGACCTGCAGTTGTCTATAATCACTTAAATCACAGTAGCACTTTCAACTTCAGTTAGCTTTTGCTCAGTTCATATGCCATGTACTGGGCAGGTCTCAGAGCCCTGGCACTGAAAAGCTAGATGTTTGCACACACAAATGTAGGAGCAACACTATCACTCTGATTCCAATTATTACCTTATCCCCACAACAAGCCCCCTGAAGTCACTCTTTCCTTGGCTGTGGCAGGCATCCTTTGCAAAGTTTTTGTTGGTGGTGGTTGCATAGTCAATACAGGTGTAACCCTGAGTGTGCATATAGGTGGGTCACATGGACTGCTATGAATTTGCATGCCCTTCTTAGGGATATAGGGTCAGAAGTTTCTGTGACATTTGGGTGACAATTGCAGGAAAAATTAAAAGGATTGTGACAGGAGCAGTATGGCCAAGGAAACTGTGTCATGGCTGAACAAAGGGAGCTTACAGACTGGAGTGAGCCTACATAGGCAAAGGCATTCTCACTGGTGGTTAAGTTTCAGCTGTCATTGACTAGTGAGGATCTGACCAGCAAACCTTGGAGCTGAAATCCTAGAGGGGACACACTCAGCATCCACCCTCAGCAGAAGAGACTCCTACAATGCTCCCCAACGCAGTAAGAAGTGACTGTGATCCTGTAAAATATCAAAGACCTCCACTAACTATCCCTAGAGGCCGCAGAGCTGCTCTCTCCAGGCTGTTGCAGCAATGACTCCATATGGCAGCTATTACAGCCTGCATGAGGTGATGACCCCAGTGATACATCTTGGCAGTGACTCCAACAGACTCAGAGACAAAAAAAAAAAATTCTCACAGTTAAATAAAATCTCTCTGAGACCCAGGGAGAAATTTCACTCCCCCTACCCCCATCTGAACTGGGCAAGGTAGCAACTCCCATGGAGGGGAATTTGCAGTTAAAAAACAAACAAACAAACAAACAAACAAACAAACAAACAAACAAACAAACAAACAACTTTGACCAAAACAGAATATTTGATATTCTAAAGTGTTTAATATTTGGTTATCTAATATTTCAAAGAGCTGTTTAATAGTTTGACTATTTTATAGTTGTTATGTTTGATATGGTTTAATTTTCTTTCTTCTATTTAAGTAACTTTTATATACAGTTTAGTACCCAAACCACTTTGAGTGGGGGTCTTTTAGAACATCCAAAAGGTATGAGCCAAACCCCTCCCCACCCCTCCAACCCCCCAATTAGTATCTGGCCCTTGTTCTGTCACCAGGGAGAAGAAGAACGGTTACACAGGTGTTCATTCACACTATTTTTGTATACTTCTCCACAGAAATGTGGGCCACGATTCCCGGATGGTCCTTGGGAAACGGCCGCAGTTGCGTGTCGAGTGGGGCACCGGGTGGTGACACCAACCCAGACACGCTCGGGGATGCCAAGTGCGAGAGGGAGATGAGATAAGCACCACAGACAATGGGGTTTGAAATAAAACTTGATATTTACTTACAGAACTGTCGACACAACTTGAAGGGTGATATAACTTGGAGGCGATGAACTATATACAGCAACAAGGGATAAGCGATGGGTGGAGACTGCAGTATACAAGTACGATGTCTGGTTGGGACAAAGTGCAGTGCGTTCCGGATTTGGCAAGGCAGTAAACTATAATGCTCGGAGCGACCGGAGCAGCTTCTGCTATAGACCTAGGGGTCTGGCCAGGCCCCAAGATGGGTGATCAACCCGCCTTGAGAGTCAGAGCCTGGGGACCACGGACCGAGGTGTGCGGTCCCCTATATAAAACTTTCGGCCAATCAGGAAGCTCCCCTGATGGTACATTCTGGAACCCATGGACGTGCTGGCCAGCCAGCCATGCCCATTAGGTGGTCTTTGATTGGCTAGACCACAGGTGATCACGCATCGCTCGCATGTTGGGTCAAATTGCTGATACACTCCGCCACCGCATCACTATTTACAATGGCTGCGTCACTTAACACTTCGATACAATAATCTGGCGGGGTCACTTTGCTTGTTGATAAGAAATGGTAGATTTTAATTTGTTTTGAATGCACAAAACCCCACAATACCACTTAAACCCAGTTTGGCATATATTGTATACAACATACATTTGAAGGTCTTATCTGTCAAGTATACAAAGATGTGTTAGCATATAAAAACTATGCACAAGTGATATGGTTATCTTCAGAAACATCCTTTGACTCAAAGGCAAAGGAAGTCATTTAGGTAAGGGAGATGCACAGATTTGATTTGAAGATCCCAAGAGACAGAATTTACCACTTCCCTTAGTTCAGCGGTTCTGAACTGGGATACATGTACCGCCAGGGGGTACGTGAAGCCTCAACAGGGGGTACGTGAGATATATTTCATACGTTGTCTAACACAGTTCGAAGGGCCTAAAAAAGTCTTGACAATTTGAAATTGCCAGGGTTTTACTGCTGTAAAACGCACATGCGCGTGAAAATCAGACATAAAAAATAATTTCCCATTGAAAGGGGGTATGTGAAGTCTCACTCTGAGACCAAAGTGTACGTCGATTGTAAAAGGTTCAGAACTACTGCCTTAGTTAATCACCCTAACTGCTAGAAATGTGCGCCTTATTTCCATTTTTAATTCATCAATTCAGCTCCCAGTCATTGATCCTTAATATGCATTTCTCGACTAAAAATCAAAGATCCTTGCATTTTCTACCCATGGAGGTATTTTAACAAATGGCAAAAAATCACCACTTTTTTCTTTGATAAACTAAACATACTGAGCTCTTAAAAAATATCTATCTATATCTATATATCACTCGCTATAGATATTTTTTCCTGCTTTTGCAATACTTTGCTTGGAATTGCAGACAGACTTACCAGCCTGTGGTGACACTTACCTTGCTTGTCCCTTTAGATTCCAACAGCTTAATGCCAGCAGGCCACAGACCTCTTCAGCCTGCTCTTTTAGACCTCCTGGGTACAAGTCATTTTGCCCCTCAGATTTTCAAGGTTAATCCATGGTAGGTGGTTTTGAGTTCCTTCCTTCTTTATTAATTGATAGCAAAGTACTTATCCTCATGGGATGAAAACACACCAGCCTTTTGCTTCCAAACACAGAACAGAAATATTAATTGAGCACCTCTGCCTTTACTGCATTATTTACAATTTTACCATTTCCATCTATGAACAGGCATGTTCCATTACTAGAATCTTTTTGGCTCCTCATATGTATTAGAAAAATATTCTTGTTACTTCTGCTAACCTTGGATTTTTCCATGACATCCTTGGGCTGCTTTATATTTTCAGATTAAATCTTCTCCCCCAAGTAACAAGTTCTGCCTGTAGGGACAGCCATAGCACTACCTAGGGGCCATACTACACCTGCATTTCTACCCCAGCTCTGCCCACTCTAGCCTTATTCTCTTGCCTGTCACCTCTTGATCATAATGTTAGTATATTTAGGAGGCTGCCTTTAGAGAACTGGAGTTCAGCTGTTGGTGCCTTGCTCCACTCTACCTATCATTAGGCTGCTGGTTGGCCCATCCTTAAGTCTCAACTTGAGCAGGTCTTTCTCTCTATCTGCCCTTCAGGGCACCTATCCCTTCAGGCTCTTTTCCAGGTACTAGCCCTGTCTCAGTGGTCTGAGACACAGCCTGGGGTGTCCACGTCAGACTCCAAACCCACCACTTAAGCACGCATCTCTGGCCTCTGCTACTCTCTCTAGATTAGGTCCCTGGCCCCACCTCACAGCACTAAGGTAACACAAAAACAAAACACATAACTTATCTCCCTGTATACTCCTCTTCACAGCACTCATGCTGTTTTGAGGACTTGGGCCCTAGGTTTAGACTTATGTTATCTTTTCCCTACTTCTAGTCACTTGACTTAGCTTGCTGATTCTACTGCCTGTAATCTGCAGGTTGGGCCCTGCAGCCCATTTAGTTGCGCTACTTACACCTGCTGTCCTTTGCAAGTAGTTTTCTTGAAAGTTTTGCGTGCTCTGCCAGTATAATAAGGGTTCATTAGCCCTTTGCTAGTAGCCTTTCTGCTATACTGTTCTTACTTCCTCCAAGTAACAGGGGGAAGGGGTCCCCTGTTACACCTAAGTAGTCCTGTTCCTAGGTTGGATTCCTACTTCAGCCCATATCCTATCTCCTTTCTAGCAAACCATTGCCATTTCCCTTTTATTTACTCCAGGTCATGAACCACCTGCCTCAGCTAATCAGCAAAACCAATTTAACATTCAGTACTGGAAGTGCTAACAGGGTTTGGTGTTTCAGGCAAGCACTGCCAGTCTATTACTAAGTCACTAGTCATATTAGTCAAGGTTTCAAAAGCAGAGGCTGAGCTCAGGGTGCACAGACTGCTAACACAAAACTGAAGTGAAATGGATTTGAGTTTCAATCACTTGCACAGCAACATCATTATAATCTCTGCATCTATTTAAAAACATACATGCTGTATTTTATTTTGCTTAAAGTATATGCTGCCACCATAAGAAAAAGAGAACAGCCTGTTCCCGGAGGCAGTTGGTAGGGGGTTGTTTTTTTGGTCCTGATTTACCAATGGAGTGCTAGCCCAGTTTACTTGCACAATACCTATTCCTTCCTTCTGCTTCTCCTCACCCCTGTCCTGCCCTGCCCTCTTTGCCTGCTTTTTGGCTCAGTTTCAGACACCCGGGACATCTCTGTATATTCAGAAGGAAAAAAATGGCTAGAGTTATTTGTTTCCTACAGCAACTTTCCAGTATATAAAATATTTTATAAAAAGGTTTTAGTGATACAGGTTACATAATCTGGCTGTACAGAAAAAAAGATCAGAGATCTATTCATGCCACTCAAGCTCATTTACTAGGTAATCTTGAAAAAGGCCTTGAGGCCAAAACATCAATTGCATTTTCTTCTTGCTGGAGGTTATCCCATTAGTTTGCAGCTACGATGAGTTAAGTAAGCTTTAGATTTGATGGCAAGTGAGCAGTGTACACAAATCACTCACTGATCTCTGATTTTTATTATGTTGAAGGCCTTATCCATTTTTTTTAAAGAAGAGTTCTGTTTCTGCCCCTACAGGACTTGCAAAAAGCACAGCAATTAGAGCTGAAGCAGACATGTTTGCTCAGTTCACTGGTTTCATTTACCAGCACAGGCATGTTCCCCTTTATGACTTTTTCTGTAGAGCCTTCTACAGTCTGAATTTAAAGAGGATGAAGATCCTGCTATGTGCCTACCTGTACTACTGTATCTCAGGTGTTAGACAACTAGTTTTAAAATACACCAATTTCTGTGAATATGGTCAAACCACACAACTAGAAAAGGCATAAGTTTGAAAGAAATATTTCATAATAGTGTTGCAGGATGTAGCCTGATGGCAAGAGCACTGGGCTAGGAAGCATGTGATTCAAAACCCTGGAAAATTGATCTCCCACTTCATGACCAAGTGCCCATTGGGCTAAACGATAGGAGGGTCTTCCCAGTTCTCTGTCTGACCCACTAGTCATGGATTTTTGCACAGGTACAAATTTTAGGACTTATACACATCCAGTGCCATGTATTTGCTTGTATGTGAAACAGGATCAAAAACAATATGTGCTATCTGAGTTTACATAAAGTGAAATAGAAGTTTGCTCAATCTATGTACTGAATGTTGTCTTATTTAAAGGATAGCTGAAGGGGAATACCAAGAGTTTCAGAAGGTTTAAGGGCACGTTACTAAGGGATGAAGTATAATCTATCCCATTAGTTAGTATTTTGCACCAGATATATTACATTTTTGAGAATGACAAAGATTTTATATCAGTGGCATAATACCCCAAATAACTAGTTGTTCTAAAAAGCAGTTTCATCTAGAAACTTAATTTTATAGTTCTGTATTTCAGCCACAAGCATCATTTGATTATGAATCTGATTTGGCTGCTTCCCTTCTCAATATTCTTAAAATTTTCAAATTTTCACTTATGCTTCAAATTTAGTATGCATGATCTTTGGAAAGATTAATATCTGAATCACTTTTATGATCAATTAGACAAGTCATTTCTGAAATATGGAAATCAAAAGCAATTGTAATGCTTTTACAATTTCACAGACAAGGTCAGGACCCAGACTACTGCAACTGGCAGCACAGTTTGGGGAGGAGGTGAGCAGCCAACAATGAAAGAACAGGTTTAAGGACTCTTTAGAAAAGCTGGGCATGTACAAGTCAATGGGGCCAGATGTGATGCACCCAAGGGTGCTGAGGGAGTTGGCAGATGTGATTGCAGAGTTTCAAAACTCATGGTGGTTGGGAGAGGTCCTGGGCAATTAGAAAAGGGAACATAGCACCCATCTTCAAGAAAGGGGAAAAGGAGGATTCAGGTAACTATAGACCAGTCAGCCTCACTTCAGTCCCTGGAAAAAGCATGGAGCAGGTCCTCAAGAAATCCATTTCTAAGCACTTGGAGGAGAAGAAGGTGATTAGCAGGGATGCTGGTTTGCTGTTCTCAATGGAAAATGGAAGAATCCACGTTTTTCCACAACCTGCTGAAAGTGTGGTGGTGGCCTGCAGCAAGCAACACCAGATTTGCTCTCTTTTATTTTTTCAATCAGCTAGGGGAAAGCAGGGTGGGGGGGGAGGGAGGGTAGGCAATGAGGGGAGAGGAGGAGGGTGCTGCTGATTGGCTAAGTAGCAAAAACCATGGTCAAAATAAAAGAGAGCAGAAAAGGCACTGCTTGCTGCAGGATGCCACTGCACTTTCAGTAAGTTGTGGAAAAATGCATATTTTTTGTGTTTTTTAAGGAAATTTTTAGCTTTTTTCCCCATAGAAAACAAGGATCCCTAGTGATTAGAAACAGTTAGCCTGGATTCACCATAGGCAAGTCATCCCTGACCAACCTGATTACCTTCTATGACGAGATGACTGCCTCTGTGGATGCTGGGAGAGCAGTGGATGTGTTATACCTTGACTTTAGCAAGGCGTTAGATACAGTCCCCCCACAATGTTCTTGCAGGCAAGCTAAGGGAGTATGGATTGAATGAATTAACTTGTAAGGTGGCTAGAAAACTGGCTGGATCACTGGGCTCAAAGGGTCATAATCAATGGCTTGATGTTTAGCTGGCAGCTGGTATCAAGTGGAGTGCTCCTGGGGTCAGTCCTGGGGCCAGTTTTATTTAATAACAACAATCAATTAATAATCAACAATCTGGAAGATGGAATGGAGTGCACCCTCAGTGAGTTTGAAGATGACACCAAGCTAGAGGTGTTGTACATACACTGGAGAGCAGGGCTAGGATTCAGAAAGACCTAGACAAATTGGAGGATTGGGCCAAAAGGAATCTTATGAGATTCTATAAGGACAAATGCAAAGTCCTTCACTTAGGATGGAACAATCCCATTCACTGCTACAGCCTGGGGAATGTCTGGCTAAACAGCAGCTCTCCAGGAAAAGGACCTGAGGGTTAGAGTGGAGAATAAGCTGCATATGAGCCAACGGTATGCCCTTGTTGTGAAGAAGGCTAACAGCATACTGGAGCATTGCCAGCATTGTAGGAGCATTGCCAAGGCAAGGGATTATTCCCCTCTATTTAGCATTGCTGAGGAAGTACTCGTCACATCTGGAGTACTGTGTCCAGTTTTGCGCCCCCACCCCCAATAAAGGATGTGGACAAAATTGGAGAGAGTCCAGCAGAGGGCACTGAAAATGGTTAGGGTGCTGGGTCACCTGATTTATGAGGAGCAGCTGAAGGAACTGGGTTTATTTAGTCTGGGGAAGAAAAATCTGATATGGGATTTAATATCAGCCATCAGCTACTTGAAGGGTGGCTCCAAAGAGGATGGAGCTGGACTGTTCTCAGTGGTGGCAGATGACAGAACAAGGAGCAATGGTCTCAAGTTGCAGCAAGGGAAGTTTATGTTAGATATTAGGTAAAACTTTCTCACTAGAAGGGTAGTGAAGCACAGGAATAGGTTACCCAGAGAAGTTGCAGAATCTCTATTCTTGGAGATTTTTAAGATCAGATTAGGCAATGCTTTGGCTGGGATAATATAGTTGGGGATGGTCCTGCTTTGAGCAAGGAGTTGGACTAGATGATCTCCTCAGGTC